ATCGTAAATTTGCCTCAACCCGAGACGGTGATAGAGGTGCGAATAGTCATCGGTATGATCACGTATGTATGGACGCTTTGTCGATTGTTTCTCTGATGTCATTGCTCCTCTTACCGTTCTTTGCGAAAGGGTAAAGGGTTCGCCTGGGGTGGGTCTTGCGAGAGTTCGTTTAGGAAAATAAAGGATTTGCCTATTACGCCTGTTTTGGCCAGTCCTAATTTCAACTACCCATTTCATGTTCAGACTGATGCGACAGCGTATGGCTTGGGTGCTGTACTAATACAGAAGTATGATGATCGAGAATATGTTATTTGTTATTTGTCCCACACTCTTAATCGTGCAGAACGCAACTACTCTAGCTCAAAGCTTGACTGCTTTGGGCTGTTGAAAAACGGCGGTGATACTTGAAATTGTCGAAGTTTTATGTCATTACCGATTGTCATTCCTTGATTTGGTTGGAAAATTTAAAAGATCCGCTAGGTAGACTTAGTCGTTGGGCAGTTAGGTTACAGCAGTTCGATTATTAGGTTGTCCATAGACGAGGAAAGGATAATATTGTTCCAGATGCGTTAACTAGAGATTTAAATATCGACGCAGAACCTGTGGAACTTAATTATATTCAGGTTGAGAACATCAAAGATTCGTGGTATACGAAGATGCGAACCCGCATGAAAAAATCTCCTCCTAAGTATCCTAGATGGCGTTGGAAGATGGAAATAGCTATTTATACAATAAGTTACGAAATGAGCGTCTTTTAGGCACGCGACGTGAAAATTGTCCAACGAGGCAAAGCCGAGTTGGACAACACGTCGAGTGACTAAAAGACATCGTTTCGTAACGTATTGTATACAAGATTTTTTCTACTGGCATTTTATAATAAAAAAAACACAATTTTATTTCATGTGAATAAGTCGATTACACCCAAAATCTTTGTCACCTGCTTTTACTTGACACCTGACACTTTTCATGCGATTTTCTTTTCAAAATTCGGCATCAATATTTAAAATCCTAGAAAGTAGGTAATAACACAAAGTTCTGTTTTGAGTAACCCAAACGTTCAATTCAGTAATTCTATTTTCAATATTCATAATAAATACAAAACAAAATTCAAATATGTGTTTAGTGTTGTTTTTTATTTCTGAATAATGATTGACACTTTTAGGCACTAGTGCTTAAAAATTACTTTTACGCACTCATAAGTCACTTTTACGCATTCAAAAGTCACTTTTACGCACTGAGTGCCTAAAAGTAACTTTCACGCACTCAGTGCCTAAAAGAATGTCGTTTCAAAACTGAAATGACAATCGAAAAGTTGCTATTATGAAACGTCAGTAGAAAAAATTTATTTAAATTTATTTTAAGCGTTTAACGAAAGCGTCTGATAGATCACGTCAACAACACAACTTGCGTCATGTGTGGGAGATCTAGTATGGAAGAAACGATATGTTTTGTCCGATGGTGCAAACTACTTTACTGCAAAGTTGGCTGGCAAATTTGGTGGGCCGTATAAGGTCAAGAGAAAAGTAGGTTATTGTATTGTGCATATGGATTGGAGGACGACAAAGGTGTTTCCATCGGTACTTGGCATACCAAAGACAGGCGCGGATCCAGGGAAGGGCCATGGGGGCCATGGCCCCCCCTAGATAAGAAAAAATAATTTAAAAAATCAACATTAAATCGACCAAAATTTTTCCGGGTTTACCAGGGCCGTCACGTACCTATATACTAACGTATACCGCTAAAGTGCGACGACCGACCAGTGTAACATAGGAGGCTGCCATTTCCACCTATAATTTTAGCGGGAATTTCAATTTTATAAATAACATTGTTAAATGTAGGTGTCGAGCACCTCAGAATAATGTTTTCAAAATAATATACACGCACCTTATAATCCAACCAATTAAAAACCACAATCAACATATTTATAAACAAAACAATAAACAATATTTAAAACTAATGTCAAATCACATTGTCAAATGTCGATAACGCAAGACATTATTACAGTCATCTGTAACTTTTATAACGAATTCCATTGGAAGGGTTAGTTCGCATGGAGTGTATTCGTGTCTTTTTCTACCGGCTTGTATAAGACAGAGATGAAAATAATTTTTTTCTGCACTAGTTCTACCAATGGAATTCGCTATATTATTTTATTAATATCAAAGCATAGGTCAAAATGACCGATTCTTCTTGTTCTTTTATTTCGATGCACAGAAAGATGCACAGTCATCTTTGAGCGGTATACCTACATTAGTATATGTATGTGGGCCCGTATATAACAGAATTTTATATCATGGCGTCATTTTATCACGGACCCCTAGCCTATTCTATTTGTATGTACAGGGTGTCTGGTTATAATTTGACACCCCACCTGCAGCCTTTAACTTTTCAGGTAGATGATAGGTATAAACACAAAAGTTGTGCAGTTTTAACTAAATTCCCAGAATCCATCGTCAAAAACAAAGTTTATTGTAAGAAATTTGAAATTTTGCGTATTTTCAACTTTTTTAAATGAAATGCCCTATATTTGCTTCTAATAATATATAGGTAGTTTGTCTATATTTGTTTGAGCCGCCTTCAACATATTTGGCTTAAAAAATACTATCCTACTGACGATTTTGTGAACCAAGAAAGAAAGCTTCAGGTAAAATTTGAGGCACTTGATTTCTCCGTTTCTCTGATATTTCTTAAATTTTTGAAGCCAAATATGGTGGAAACGGCTCAACTGAATATAGAGAAACTATATATTTTTGGAATCGGAAAATTGTGCTCTTCAAGAATATATAGGGCATTCTATTTGAAAAAAGTTAGAAGTCGCAAAATTTCAAATTTCTGACAATGATTTAACTAAAACTGCTCCACTTTTGTGTTTACAACTATCATCTTTCATAAAGGTGGGGTTTCAAATTATAACCAGACACCCTGTACCTTCCATTATTTTGTATGCCCCCCCCCCCCCCCTTAGTTTGGGTCTGGATCCGCGCCTGACCAAAGATCTTAAACCCGATCCTGATTAATTTTCTCTAGGTTAATAATGATTTTGTTAAAAGAAACAAAGTTTCTTTTAAAAGGGAGGAAAGGTGGAGTTGTTACAGTTCAAAATTCACTGTATCAATTCTCATTTACTTGTACTCATGTACTTGGAAGCTCTAAAAGTGATATCAACAAAAATTCAAACGACGCGCAGCGGAGTTCGGCAAGCAATCAAGTGAGGACAAGAGACTTTCCGCACGAGTTAAGAACACTATTTCTTCTACGAGATGAAAGTTAATATTTGTAACTTCATATTTACCAATTTAAGATAATTTTTTTTTCACTTTTCCGCACCTGTACCTGTAGTATACCTATGTATCTGTAAGTACAGCCTATCAATTTTAGGCATTTTACTTTTACGCACTCAGTGCAGAAAAGTAATGTGGAAAAGTACTTTTCCTACGAGCGTGCGCAAAGTAGTACTATTCCGCACGCATTTCCGTGCTCAAAGTTGCACTTTTCCGCACTCAGTGCGGATACAGGCCTTATCCGCACTGAGTGCCGAAAAGTAAAAATAATTGTCAAGCAACAATAAGTACACCTGTCGACTTTGACACATGATGACAAATTTTTCCTCTGTTCCTGTTCCAGCTAACATCTATACCTACAAACACCAAATTTAATTAACTTCAACACATTGTCAGATTTGTTTTCTATATATATGCATCTACAAACTTTCTCATCAAATTTATAGCATTTTCCATTTGTCGAAACAGGGCAAAAAAATGTATCCTTATCCTTACATGTTACATGCTTTTAGAAAAAGATGCGGATGCACTCAGTGCGGCACTGATGAGAAATGGAAATCGCCATTAAACGCTTTAAGATGAAGAGCTCTGACGATGATTTTCTGTTATATTTTTTTTTTGTTATGTAATTTTTTGATAAATGCATAGGTTCCCTTCAAGTTAATTAAAAATAATTAAACAAATTATCGTTTTTTTTTTAAATTTTTGTTGTTACCTACCTGATATGAAGCTCGTAGGAAAAATTTTGTTCCTAACACGTGCGCAAAGTGTCTTTTCCGCACGCAAACACGTATCCGAACTCCGCTTCGCGTCGTTCGTATAACTGTGTTTGCGTGCGGAAAAGTAACACTTTGCGCACTTGTTAGGAAAATAACTATTTCCTACGAGCGTGCGCAAAGTAGTACTATTCCGCACGCATTTCCGTGCTCAAAGTTGCACTTTTCGGCATTTCGTGCGGATAAGGTCTGTATCCGCACTGAGTGCCGAAAAGTAAAAATAATTGTCAAGCAACAATAAGTGCACCTGTCGACTTTGACACATGATGACAAATTTTTCCTCTGTTTTTATAACAGCTTGCGGAAAAGTAAGACATTGCGCACTTGTTAGGAAAATAACTATTAACGCATTAGGGCGGAAAAGTGGTACTTTCATGACCTAAAATGCACGCGGAATAGTGCACTTTTCCGCAGAAAAATATATATATATTTTTTTTTCATAATGCTGATTTATGTTGCGTCTGTAGTTCTTCGGTTGTCACCCTGAACTACATGAAGAAATGCACGGAAAAATACACAGAATACAGGCTTTACACTCACTCACTGAATGTGAAATAATTATCCTAGAAATGCATAATATATCCCAATGCATATGCCCAACTAAACTGGAGCGATGCGAATAAACCCGGAATGCAATCATGCCTTATTGACAAAGCGTTCTAATGGCATTATAGCCGTGACGGATTCTGCTTTGATCGGTCGAATCGTAGCCCGAAATTCCCAGATATTTTATCAACAATAATCAGTTGATAATCATCAGCATAACTCGATACGCAATACAAGTTTTCTGATAATCCTATTTATACGAGTTTAAGTTACTAACCTAGATTCCCTGGAGTGTCTTAGACTAAATTTTCAGTAACTAGCAACCCAACTGGGAACATTTTTCAAATCTAGTTCCCTAAAGAAAAGAGTACTTCAAAGTTATTATTCTTTTTTGCAGGATGAAAGTGGAATATCCCACAGAAGCTGGACAAGCGATATTGAAAATCGAAAACGTAGAAATTGAGGACGAAGCGATTTACAAATGCGAAATAACGTATATCGAAGTAAAGGAAAGTTGTCACGAAGTCGTACAAATTGTCAATCTCACAACTTTGGGTAAGTCAATCTTAGATGTGCTAAATTGAATCTTCAATTAACCCAAAATATCGATAACTTTTTTCTTCCAGCTAATTTCGCTTTGACTAAGTTTGGTTTCCAAACTTTCTCTCTGGTAAATAGAGCACTTAAGTGAGCTTTCATTTAATTAGATAGTTTGCATGAGAACACTTTATCCATCATGTGATATTACATGGATAAATCCTCGAATAAATCAATTTGCCATTATTGTAGAATATGGTTTAATCATACTCAATGTGATTATGTAAAACATATGGCATATTATCATGATTATATTATTTCCCACAACTATATCTATGACCGTTCCATACTTGTTTTCCTAATTAATTTGCAAACTCGAAAACATTTGCTTCAACAGTTTAAACAACTAAATTCATTCCCAGATTTATTTTTCGAGGGAGTTTTGTTTTTCACAAAAACTCTTTTAACTCAGCGTTTAATTAATTAAATTCAACAAAGTTTTTTTTTTTTTTCGGGGCGCTACGTAAGCATGATTTTAAAATATCATCCATTTTGATGATTAAAGGATTTGCTGTATTCTTTCAAAGATAAAAGGGGGATTTGATGGAAGAATTTTTAAATTAAGAATAGGTAACAAATTCAAATTATATTTTGTCTAACAAGGACTACGAAATTCTCTTGAAGAAAAATATAGCTAATTATAAATATTGAGTTGAGTGGTATCTTGAGTCCCCAGTCTCGTTAACTGATTTCTATTTTGTTTTGTAAAGAGAACAATACTTTGATTTGATTATTTCAAATTTTAACAAAGTAAGTATTTTTGAATGTCAAAAACTGGTGGAGAATTTTGTTTAAAATAATCCACTGCAATGCGTACCTAGTCAATTAAAAAAAAAACATATTTACCAAATTTAAAAGACTAAATTTGATATCGTTGTTCGCTTACAAAAAATATATATTTACAACAAAATGAAAATATATCTTTTTTAAACTGGTCCAGAGTAATAAATCCATTTTATACTCGTTGTACCTGATCCGGGTAATTTATATCTCGACCGAATAAAGGGCAAACCGATGTTTTCAAAAGATAAATGTCATTTAAAATATTGCTTTAGCTAGAGAGAGAACAATTTGAAATAAAAATGTTTTGTGAATTTTGTAAATTGGATAAAATAGATCTTAATTTATCTGGGTTCAACAATAGCTTATTTCTGGCACCTGTGTAGCCTATTTTCTTGAAATATTATGTGCCTAGCATAGGAATTTACAATTTAAGAAAGTCTAAACTTATGCCATAAATCCGACAGTTAACTAACAGCGAGCGCACAGTAATATACACTCAATAATTTATCTTGTCCAGCGGTATTTATATCCGACGAAGCGCTACCGGAAAACTATTAAACCCAAACCTGGAAATCGTACCCTAGAGGCTATGCCTCATGTTTGCCGAATCTGGAACTTTTGACAGCCATCCTGTTTGATTTGTTACACGATTGTGAGTTGAGAATTTTTATGTTTTTTCAATATTAGCTCTGTTCTATCAGACATGAGAACCGTTCCAGGATGCGGATTCTGTGCTCTGTCGCTTTCTATAGGTGGAACTCTAGTGTCGATTTCTACATTTAATATAAGGGGAAATCGAGTAGAAAAAGACACACGGAATACGAAATATCGAAAGAGACATGTCGCTATAGAATTCGACAGTGCACCGAATCCACATCCAGAGCCAGTAGTTTCCAGTTGCCCACCTATTTTTCAATAAGTTGAACGTTTATCCTAATTGGCAAGTGATCGACTAGAAATTACCGTTCTAGAACGGTTCTCATGTCTGTTGGAACTTGGAAAGGAGCTGTAATAAACCACAAAAGTTTTGCTTTTACATATTCGAAATAAATGGTTCAAGCTATACTTTTTGACAGTATTGAAGCATTTCATCGTCTGTACCCAAAATCTCTTTGGCAATTATACTAATAATATATTATTAAAAGTCCTCAAATTTGCTTCAAAATCCTTGCATAACAGCTACCTGCCTACTATCCCCTAAAGAGTAATATTTATATTTTGCCCGATATTTTCGTCCAATTTAAAAGCTGCCACATGCAGCCACGCACGTTTATCTGTGTACATCAGATTGTGTCATTAAAAACAATAGGTGTTTTGGGGGCTTGCAAATTATTTGCAAAAAAAAAAACCGAACGATGATTTATTATGTGGTAATAAATTTAGTTCCTGTAAAATAGATTTCATTTTCATGGAGAGTTAATAAACCAGAATTTACCGTTGCAATAATGAAATGTAGTTACAAAGGAGCAAATTCAAAATCCACCTACAAGGCAAAGCTGGACAAGCTACAACGACTTGCCTGCAAGACTACAATTGCAGCCCACCCCAACTTTGGCAGTAAAGCCTCTTGCCTCTTCATCTCTTTGTGAAGGCACGGGCCTGGGTCCTTATTCTTGAAACAGGGGAAAAGCGTTCCCAGGAGAACGAGTGTTCCGTCTTTGTTACTTATATTTTCATTTGTATATCATTGAGAAAGACGGAATACTTGTTCTCCTGGGAACGTTGCTCCCCTGTTTCAAGAATAGGGACCCTGGGAGGATGCAGTCAGACTCAACGATTGCGGACAATGGGTTCATACAGGGCTGAACATGGGACATGCAAGGGCCTAGACTGACGGGACCCCCTTTTCACTAGAAGTGAGTCGATCTTGCACTGAGTCGATACTCAACGGTATGCCAGACTGGTGTGCAGGTAGGCAGCCAGCACTCCAAGCCCTTTGCTCAGACAAGGTCAACTCAAAGGTCACGCTTGACTGTATGACAACGCTTGAACCACTCAGTGGGATCAACAAGGTAACTCTTGTTTAGGTCGCAAGTCACAGGGGCGTAAGAGGCAATGAGGAGATGGATCAGCTGGTTCGTGAAGGTAGCAACCAGAGCCTGCATCTGGGGTCGCTTCCTGCCTGGTGGAAACCAAGATCAGGAGCTCTACAAAGCAGCGAAAAGCTTCCTAAAGCCAAACAGGAACCAACTAAGTGTTATCACAGGCGTCCTGACGGGACACTGGGCGCTCAGATACCACCTGCACAAAATCGGACTCAGAGTAATGAGACAGAATGCAGGTTCTGCAGCGAAGTAGATGAAACTATCAAGCATATATTCTGCGAATGTGACGCCCTCATCAGTCGCTAACTACGATTCCTCGGGTACAGGGCTGCACCAAGAAGGGGATAGCACAATGGGCCTCATACGCGTCTATGTGCTACCTGTAAAGGCTAGTCTTCCAAATCAATCAATCAAGGTTAACCATATAACATATTCAATAATAGTTACCACTAAAATATCGTATAACGTCTCAGAGTAGATGTCGATCTTTTCTACTTTAAAAGATCAGTCAAATAATGCCTAATTCTGCCAATGTTTATATCAAAGACAAATAATGAAATATCGCACTGTTCCAAGCTTGTTCAGTGATCATGAGTATTTAAAGCAGATTAAGTTTGAGGAATTATAATAATTTGTTTTGTGTATTCTCCGGCAGAAGTTTCGCGGTGCTAACTATACAAACGAACAAATTGGTGGCTTTGGAATCGATAACATGAGTTTTCTATAACAAGCAACTGTTCATTATATGGTCCTGTTGCATCGTATCAAGTATCTTTTTCTTTCGTTTGAAAGAAGTTAGTAGAAAACGCATAACAGAATGATTCTCATGTACTTCTGTATCTGTAAGTTTGGAAGGGTGGTATGCCACATCCCTTAGGCCACATTAGGCCCATTGTGCGCATTCACAAGAGGAGAGCTGATCCTTAGCTCGTCATCCAGCCTAGCGATTCAACGTAGATGATGACGTCGCCGAGAGCGGTACCTCTGATCTCTTCTAGTAATGGGTACGATTGGCCTAATCTGGCTCTGCTTATTGGCGAACGAGCAATGCAGTCACAGAGAATGTGCTCTATCATCTCGTCTTCTTGATTACAAGCCCTACACAAGGGTGTGGTACTGAGATGCAACCTAAACAAATGTTTGTTCAAATGACACTGGCCAGTCAAGATGCCCGCTATTAGGCGTAGCCTTTTCCTGGTCAACGACAGCTTTTGGCTCGCTGCAGCTTTATCTGGATAGCCTAGCAGTTCCTTGAATAAGTTTTTTTTTTTTTTTATAGTAGGGATTGGAAATGCATTTTGCACGCCTAGGGCATTGGTCTTTGAGCGCCCTAGGGAGTGTGGGACTCTCACCCACTAAAATCCTTCCTCTACTCTTCGCAGACCATCCCTGAGACTACTCATTACTTCAAGGAGGTTGCGGAATCGCCATACTTTCTAGCAAGCGATGACTTCAATCGTATAGGCTAGTATTCTAGAGCTTCTCGAAATTTGTTTTCATCTTCGTTTTTCAGTTTTAGGATCGCCTCTACCATCTTATGAACTTCTTCCCATTGCGGTAATTGTAGAGTCAAGAAAGTGGGTTGCTAGTAGAACCTGTGCTTTCTTGAAGGTTGGCGGTTGGCAGTGAAGGTGCCATCCTCCTTGCACAGGATACCAATTTTCAGAAATGGCTCTTTATTAAGAGCTTTCGCCGCTTCCGTATAGTTTTCTATTTCGTTGCAGTCCTCTGGACATCTCTTTATTTGTGTCGTACGACTTTTTTATACTGGTTGAGTTGGTAGCTATAAAGGTTCCAGTCCTCAGGTAGTTTGGTATTTTTAGCTTTATTGAAAGCTTTTCTTGTCATCGCCCTAAAGTGTTCCAGTTCCTGACACCACCAAGCAGAGGTGGTGGTGTGTTACCAGAGTTTTGGAACATCCTCAGTGGGCTCGACATCTTATAGGATTTTATGATGGCACCTTGGATGCTATTGGCATACCACTCCAGTTCTTGGTCATCATTGGGTGTTTTAACTGCAACCTCTCGTAGAGCCCTTTCCAGATCTTGCACATACTATGCAATATTGGTTTTTCTAGGGTCACGGTAAGGTCTTGTAGTTTCAGGCGAGCAGTTTAGTGTAAAAGTTATC